AGGCTTCAAATGGCGCACAAATTATTTCGAGAGAAAGTGCTACGTGTAGCGACAGCCGCTAATTTTGTCACGATATTTTTAAGTGTTATGTTTATTTCTCGCTGACCTCACGCGTGCTTTCACCGCATTAATATTACATCAGAGAGATGTAGCTGCACTCAAAAGGTCCGTCCTCATGCATTGTTAATGTTTTATATCCCCCAGTAACTGTTACTTTGGCTGGAGTGACTGAGTAATTTTTTTAAAGCCATAAAGCAGCGGCAGCAGCAAACTCATAATGTGTAGCTTTTTTAGCATTCGCAGCGTTCCGTGTGCCTTTGTGTTTTCTACGATGTTACTTATTTCACAGCGGCGCTGGTGGCAGTAAGTTTGGGGAGCGGTGGCCCAGCGGTTAGCACGCTGCGCGACGACACCCGGCCACCCGGGTTTGATTCCCGCTCATGACCAACACCTGTGACCAGTATCTAAACCGGTCCCGGTCCTGCCCTAGGTCGACTCAGCCTCAAATGAGTACCTAGTGCGGTGTGTACATATCGCCACTGGGGAGACAAAGGCGGCCGGGCGTGGTGCTGGCCACCTACCTCCCGTGTGAGCCGTCATATGTGCTCGCTGACGGCACTTGCCCCAACAGTCTGTGAAGGCTACACGGGGAAATCGTTGTCTCTGTTCGTCATTTTTTATGTGGCTTTATGCTGACAGTGTTTTTTTTTTAATTATAATATCACCACAGTTGTAAAATTAGGATGACTACAATTACTCTGTTTCCCAGTCATCAGCAAACCCTTTTTTTATTTTCATCATGATTAATAATTTAAGTGTTGGGACGCTGTGGGGGTAGTGACTGTTGCAGACATTTTTTTGCATTTCACACCAAACCTGACAAGCTCCGCGCATTTTATCACACGATATCAGTGCAGCTTCGATTCGCAAACCTCTGGCTTCGATTGTTTTGGGAGTCGTCAGGATACTTCTGATGGCGTCGCCCAGGCAATGTTACGTCCGCCTGTCCGAGGCCACGTTACATAATGTTCATCGAAAGCTACAATATCGTTCAAATCAATGGCTGCCAAAAGCTCAGTGTAAGCTCACCAGTGCCTCTAGCAGGATCTGAACAGATTTGGAGCCTCTTTGGCGAGCGTAAAGTTGCAACATACGAGGGTTTATCCAAAAGTACCGTGACTGCTTTGATTTAAGCAAAGCAAAAGTGCGACGTTCCTCGTTAAATGCGTCTCCTTTAAAGTAGTATCTTCCTGAGCGAACACGATATTGATTCCAGCTTTCCTGCCATTTGTCAAGGCATCTCTGGCAATCTTATTTCGGGATGGCCCCTCCGATGACCACGGTTGGCTACATATGTTGCGAATAAAGTCAAACACACACAACGTGGCTTTGAGGTCCCGAGTTGATTTTTGATGATGGTTGCCACATTAACACATTCCTGCGGAGGGAGCTGGTAGGAACGTTGGGTTGCTCGGTCAATGGCCAGGGTCAACGGCGGCGTGGTGTATTCCGCAAATATGCCCGACTGTGAGGGCGGGCACAAGCCGGCGTGAGTAGGTTAAACGTTGAGTTTTATAAGGGCACCACGGGGTGACCAGCCCCTCCCCACCCAGCCCCACCCCTCCCATCCCCCACCCAGCCCCACCCTCCCCACCCAGCCCCTCCCCACCCTCCCCTCCCCACCCAGCCCCTCCCTGCACGACGGACGCAATAATCCCCTGTGGGCTGGTGTAAGCAGGAGGTTCCTACCAGTATGAAATCTTTTTAGTTTACTTCTATTGAGCGTTTCAGACTACACAACTGCTATACACGACTGCACCATTTCACTATACAACTGACACTATACCACACCACTAAAGTACTGACACCACTTCACTGCACAAATATACTACACCACTACACTTTCATTCGTATCCTTACCTCATTCAATCAATGAATCACTCATTGAGTTTACTCAATCCTCTTAATTCCTTCATTTCTCATTTATCTCTCATTCAATCACGCACTCTCTCGTTTATGCGTTCGTTCTTAATTTTCTCACTTGTGCTTCATTCATTTACTCATTCCTCAATGGTTCATTCAAGTTAACTCTTTCGTTCTCCCCCTCGTCTGTTCGTTGATTCATTTGCACCACACAATGTGTTTTGGCGAACAGCAGCAAACATTTAAATTTGTAATGCACATCAGCATCTTCAGGCAGTTATCGAATGAATGTCACAATACATATGAACAGCATTGCGTCAACGATCTTTTAAGAACAAAACATAATTTTAGAAGTTAATTTCTCTAACATCAACCCGCATTCCAATCACTCATTCTTTTAATCAATTCTCAATCTTGCATCATTAACACATTCCGTCCAGCACCTCCCCAGCAACCTCCCCGATGCTGTTGCTCTAAACAGCGTTGCTAGGGACACCGCTACTAGTGATGCTGTTGCTATGAACAGCGTTGCTAGGGACACCGCTACTAGTGATGCTGTTGCTATGAACAGCGTTGCTAGGGACACCGTTGCTAGTGATGCTGTTGCTATGAACAGCGTCGCTAGGGACACCGCTACTAGTGATGCTGTTGCTATGAACAGCGTTGCTAGGGACACTGTTGCTAGCGATGCTGTTGCTATGAACAGCGTTGCTAGGGACACCGTTACTAGCGATGCTGTTGCTCTAAACAGCGTTGCTAGGGACACCGTTGCTAGTGATGATGTTGCTATGAACAGCGTTGCTAGGGACACCGTTGCTAGTGATGCTGTTGCTATGAACAGCGTCGCTAGGGACACCGCTACTAGTGATGATGTTGCTATGAACAGCGTTGCTAGGGACACTGTTGCTAGCGATGCTGTTGCTATGAACAGCGTTGCTAGGGACACCGTTACTAGCGATGCTGTTGCTCTAAACAGCTTTGCTAGGGACACCGTTGCTAGCGATGCTGTTGCTATGAACAGCGTTGCTAGGGACACCGTTGCTAGCGATGCTGTTGCTATGAACAGCGTCGCTAGGGACACCGCTACTAGTGATGCTGTTGCTATGAACAGCGTTGCTAGGGACACTGTTGCTAGCGATGCTGTTGCTAGGGACGCCTGCCGCTAGGCTTGACGTTTGGACCTCGCGGCCAACAGATAATACACTTGATTTCGTAGTGCACATAAGCGCGGTAGCTTAACAGGGTTTTGAATTATGTAGTCCAGATAAGTGTTTTTTTTTTCGCTGATAACTCAGCAACTGAAGTTCATAGATGTGTAGTGAGTTCAATTGAGTCGCAGACGTCGTCCCCGTATTTGGAGACTCGTTGAACGTAGAACGTAGACGGATGGTTTCGTCCAGAATGAACAACAACAACAACGCCGGTCCCTATCTGGGACCCTGCTGATATTCTCCGAGGGTTCTGGAAGGTGGGCGTGGCCAAGGGCAGAGATGACCACGCCCACCTTCCAGAACCCTCGGGAAGGATCTGGGTCCCAACCACGTGACCACACATAGCCCCATCGCGACCAATATTATTCATAATAAAGGTCTTTTGGGGTTAGATCGCGTTATTTATAAATGTGTCGTAACCCTCCTCCACCACCCGACACGGCCAAACAGTAAAACATGTGTCACGTTTAAAAAAGGCAAATAGTTCACTACTTTAGCCCACCGGTGTGTTGAAGAGTGAATCAACATCATTTACAATATCAACTTTTGTCAATAAAAAAAAGGCATCCACGCAAAAAAAAAATCAACTCGATGTGGGCATAAGAATCCAAAGCACTTGTGTGTGTAACTCTAACGGGAAAATGTTATTGCTTAAACATAGTATTATACATGCGTCGTACATACGACTATATAATTCAAAATATTCTTAAAGGGGTTGTGCTGAGGTCTGCTGATAAAGAAGCAACGTATCATAAACACTAATTTGCTTTTTTGCCAAGCTCCCGAGTACAGGAGCCGCTGTTTATTACCCACGGATCTGCGAAGCCACGCAGGCATCGTGCCACAAAGGGCCCTTACCTCATTCCGAGTAAAAGTCCGACGTCTTCGCGTGCATTTGCTGCTTTGTCATGGACCACTGAGACCTGTGTTGGCCCATTTCTCAATGTGGGCCTCACCCATGAGCATGTGTCCCCGAAGAAGCCTGGCCCTACGTGAACCCGGTGCGCACGTATCGTTCTTGTGCTTATTTGCGCAAGAAAGCATCACCAACTTTTCGCAGTAGCGAGGCAATGTTGCTTGCTGCTCTGTGCGTAATCCAATTTGAGTGACTCGCAGTATGATTTTTCAGCATTGGGAATGCGTTAGGTCAATACCGTGGGTTCGATTCGGACCCTGACGCCTGCTGTGCATTTGGAGTTTGCATGTCTATCTCTCCCTGTGGTCGCGTAGATGTTTTCTCCGGGTCCTCCGGTTTTCCCCTCCGCAATTCGAATCAACATCAACGCGTTTTGAGTATTTGGCTGCTGTTGTATTTCCACGTGATAAGCCACTTGGTTGAGCTATCATTTGTGGCCAGGTGGCTTCTGAACAAAAATCAACACAGCTCAGCGAACGGCTCCTGCACGCCGTGGAGGCTGCTGCTGCTGTAGTAGAAGCAGCCCCCCCCCCCGTGCCCCCCCCCGTGCCCCCCCCCCCTCCCGTGCTTTGTAACGTTCTGACCCCCGTTGCCCCATACTGGACATGCTTGAGGAACAAAAAAAATCTGTGTAGCTCATCGGATCCCCTCCGGTACAAAATATTCTGATCCTGTCTTCTTGGTTCTTTCGGTAAAGTCACGTAGAATGGAAATAATAAAATAATAAAAATAAAACATAATGAAATAATTATTTTATAATAAAATAAAACATACTAATAAAATAAAACATAATAAAATAATGTATTTTATTACGTTTGATTTTTATTATTTTATTATTTCCATTCTACGTGACTTTACCGAAAGAACCAAGAAGATGAATCCCTGCGGTCACGAAAGCTTTAAATCGAAAACAATTCTGATCCTGATTTGTCGTCGCGGGTGCGTTGCAGGCAGCGCCGGCACCTCGGTGCTGTTCAACGAGAATGGCGACGCCCCCGGACGCTACGACATCTTCCAGTACCAGCTCACCAACACCAGCAGCCCCGGCTACAAGGTCATCGGCCAGTGGATTGACCTGCTCAAACTGGACGTAAGTCCTCGTCCGCCTCGCCGTCAACATCGAGATGCCCCCCTCCACCCCTCCCCCCACCACCACCACCACCCTTGCCCCCCCCCCCACTCTCTCCGCGCTCTCACCGTACTCCCAGCAATCAGCGCACAAATAATCACGAAATTGCCGGAGAGGGGCGAGGGAGCCGCAAACCATTTGCTGGATTGCTCCCGATCCGTGTCGAGCGCCCGTGGAGGCAGCAGACACGCCGAGCATGTGGCTGTGTGGTTTGGTTGTTTTGTGCACCGCGCCAGAACTTTTAGCTCGTCAGTGTACGAGGAATAATGATTGTAATAATATTGATGATGATGATGATAATAGACCCGTCGATGATTAAGACACAACGTGACAATATTGTGTGTTGGAATCGGCCCGAGCGTTGTGTTCAGTGGCGGTGCTAGGTAAAAATAGATATTTATTTAGTAAATAAAGAAGTAAACATGCAAACATTTAGGCACTCAAGAAGCCCACGTGGCCCCCTTATGCATGAAACATCGGTGTGCGGAAAATACCAGCTCCAGTTCAGATCTGAATACACGTTACAAGCTGCGTCATGTCACTCATCTTTCTCTTTCCTGTGTTTCTGTTGCCTTGCCTCGCTCCAACTCTGTCTCTTTGCAACAGCTCTCTCGTTCCACTACAACTCTCTCTCTCGTCATCAGTATCATCTCTCTCCCACTCATCTCGCTCCAACACTGTCTCTTGCCAACTGCTCTCTCGTTCCACTATAACTCTCTCTCTCTCGTCATCAGTATCATCTCTCTCCCACCCATCTCGCTCCATCTCTGTCTCTTGTCAACTGCTCTCTCGTTCCACTACATCTCTCGCTTTCTCGTCATCACTATCATCTCTCATTCCACTCACCTCGCTCCAACTCTGTCTCTTGTCAACAGCTCTCTCGTTCAACTACATCTCTCTCTCGTCATCAGTATCATCTCTCATTCCACTCATTTCGCTCCAACTCTGTCTATTGTCAACTGTTCTCTCGTTCAACTACAACTTTATCTCGTCATCAGTATCATCTCTCATTCCACTCATTTCGCTCCAACTCTGTCTATTGTCAACTGCTCTCTCGTTCAACTACAACTCTATCTCGTCATCAGTATCATCTCTCATTCCACTCATTTCGCTCCAACTCTGTCTATTGTCAACTGTTCTCTCGTTCAACTACAACTCTATCTCGTCATCAGTATCATCTCTCATTCCACTCATTTCGCTCCAACTCTGTCTATTGTCAACTGCTCTCTCGTTCAACTACATCTCTCTCTCGTCATCAGTATCATCTCTCATTCCACTCATTTCGCTCCAACTCTGTCTATTGTCAACTGTTCTCTCGTTCAACTACATCTCTCTCTCGTCATCAGTATCATCTCTCATTCCACTCATCTCGCTCCAACTCTGTCTCTTGTCTACAACTTTTTAGCCATTTCTCGAACAATTTCTAGCACCCACGCTCCCCCCACCCCCGCCCCCTCGCCGCCGAGAAGCGTTCTGCTCGTTATAACAATTGATTTGCGGCCGTGTTAAAACAAACGCATCTCACGTGATAAAAACGTGTCAACATCGACGGTGCAACAACGCTGAGCGTAATCTTTGATTCTTCTTCTGCGAGCCAAGTTGATTTCCATTGAGCCTAGCAGCCCTGCTCAGGCAGATAGTTGTTTTTGTCATTATCTGTCCCTGTCTGAAGATAGCCGGAGGCATTGGCCTTTCAAGCTGATAAGCTCTACATCAAAAACATTGTTTTAAGCCCAAGTGTTTGCCCTACTGGAAAATCACTTTCAGCCTGTGCACAGACGTACGCGCGTGTGTGTGTGCGTGTTGTTTGTGGCACAGTTGCTAATAGACTGCTTACTGGTTTGCGAGTCCAGCCACCAGAAAATTCTAGCGCAGCGGTTAGAGAGTTACACTTTGACCCCGGCTATCCCAGTTCGATTCCCACTCACGGCCACGAACACCGGTGCCGATTATCTGAACCGGTCCGGGGTCTACTCTGAGGTCGACTCAGCCTCAAATGAGTACCTGGTTGCTCATACCGATGAGAAGTGTTGAAATTAACTGATTACAATTCGCTACCCCATCCATCAGTGTCGGCTCTGGATTCAGAAGACATGACCGGGAATCAAGCCGAAAATGTTGATTGATACACAACCCTCTATCAAAGACAAATACAAGTATTCACCATATAGCCTTTGGCAGACTGTTGGGGCAAGTGCTATTAGCGAGCACCTATGAAGGCTGGCATAGCACACGAAGGGGTATGTGGCCAGCACCACGCCCTGCCACCTTTGTCTCCCCAGTGGCAATGTTTATACTTTGCACAAGGTACTAATGTGAGGCTGAGTCGACCTAGGGGAGGCTCAGGACAGGTTTTAGATTAATGTAACTGTGTTGGTCATGAGTGGGATCGAACTCAGGTTGCAGCGCAATGCGCTATCCGTTGCACTACCACTCCCCAAAGACAAAGATCCCCCATATAGCCTTAACACATTTTTGGGGTAAGTGCTGTTAGCGAGCACCTGTGAACCCCGACAAATTGCACAAATGGGGCGGTGTGGCCAGCTGCCTTTGTCTCCCCAGCGCCGATGTTTACACACCGCACTGGGTGCTCATTTTAGGCTGGGTCGATCTAGGGGAAGGCTTAGGGCTGATTCTGACACAGCGTCGGAAGTGGGACTAACCACTGCGCCACCATTCAGCTGCGATCCTGCCTGCCGAACACCACAGACAAAGATGACCCTTATAGCCCTTGACAGACTCTTGGGGCAAGTGCTGTGCTCGAGCACTCACGCGTAGACACAAACACACACACACGTGGCAAGTGCGCATGCAGTGCTATACATTTTAATTGTGGCGACGTAAATACCGCGCCTTTAATGAGCTAATTAGCAATGCTCGTAATGAACGTGATTTATGCGCTGTGCATTTGTGTCGAGCGCTGTAGCCCAAACTGTACACACATTTACCACTTAATAATGCACCGCCTGGCGAATTCATTGGCTGTAGGGAAATAATGGGCTTGCCCATACTCCAAACGTTGTTCCACATTAATTCGACCTGTTTAAATATGTATGCTCAGGGAGAGGTTACCGCAGAGGCTGCTGTTAATTAGAGCGGGCGATACTTAATAATCATAATAATTACTTGATATTTAACTGCGGGGCGTGCACTTGTTTTCCCAAATCCTTTTAGACGTCATAATAATCATGGCAATTAAGCAAAATTAACAGGCACGTGCCCGCTCTCAATGCGGAGGCAGATTTGTTTTAATAATGCCATTAAATACCTTGCTCGCGACAGGTAATTGGGGCAGAGCTAATTGTGTTTGTTTGGGTAACGCCACCTTGCCCCAAGGGGCGGGTGTCAAACGAGATTGTGAGCTGCACGGGCCACGTGCGTTTCTTCGTTCGATTGGACATGATGTGCAAACACATTGCCTCACCGCCCCAACCCTCGGTGTAGCCCTCACGACAACCTGAACGTAATGTATCATGATTATGTAACTGCAATGTATCACGTGTTGCAGTATGATGTAGAGCATCGACTACAATTTCGTATTCAGGTGATCAAGCCCAGACAGCCGCGTCACGAGCAGCGGAATGTGTCACCGTCGCTGCGATCTCTCTTTCGTATTTGTCCAACTTTCACACTTGAACTAGACATTTAAAAAAATTATTAAATGAAACTAAACTATTTTAATTGTACCATGTACGTTAAACTTCTTTCGCACCGTACCGAGCCAACCATGCAAATCGGAGATGCGGTAAGGCCCCACTGAGCTATGGAGCTCTTTATCAGAAGCAACCGGGCAACAAATCGTAGCTCTACGAGGTGACGGCTCATCGTCACGTGGACATTTATAGCAGCCAAATACTTTTAATGTGGATGGAAAAACCGGTGGAGCCCGGAGAAAATTCCACTCGACCACGGGGAGAGAGACGCGCAAACTCCAGATATAGAGCGGCAGGCGTCAGGGTCGAGATTGAACCCACGACCTCCTGCGTACCAGGCGAGGGGGTTAACATCTCCTCGCCACGGTGGCCAGGAGATGTCAACTCAGGTAAAAAATGAAATTAAAATTAATAAAAATAAAATATTATATTATTTTATTATATTATTTTATTTTTATTAATTTTATTAATTTTTGTTAATTTTTTTACCTTCGTGACTTTACCGAAAGAACTAAGAGTATGAATCCTTGCAGTCGCGAAAGCTTCAAATCTAGAATGTCAACTCAGGTGGGGGGAAGGGGCGGTGGTAACCGTGACAGTGCTACTACAGCGGTGATGGAGTTCTCTCACAACGTGAGCGATATATTTCTTTAAAAATTTACTTTTGAGAGCCATCGGCTGCTGAGAGCCATCGGTTCCGTCGCTCAAGCGGTGGGCCCGTCACTCACTCGCGTTGTGCCTTTCCCATCTTTCTCCACAATTGCCGTCTCGAGTTGCGGACGCGTCTATTAATCCTCGTTAGATTCATCCCGCGTGTCCTCCATACCTCTTTGCGCTGAACAAAAGTAAAGAAAAATGTGTCTGTAGAATGTTTCCCGGTGGGTAAGGAAGTATCAACAGGATTCACGTTTGTTGTTGTTGTTGGCACGCGCACGTCTTGTGTACCTGTGTGTGTCTCTGTGTGTGTGAGTGTGTCTGTGTGTGTGTGGGGAGCGGTAGTGTAGTGGTTAGCGCGCTGCGCTATGAACCCGGCGACCCGAGTTCGATTCCCGCTCACGGCCAACACCAGTGACGATTATCTGAACTGGTCCCGGGCCTCCCCTAGGTCGACTCAGCCTCAAATGAATACCTGGTGCGGTGTGTAAACATGGCCACTGGGGAGACAAAGGCGGCCGGGCGTGGTGTTGGCCACCCACCCCCTTCGTGTGCCGTTCCGGCCTTCATAGGTGCTCGCTAACAGCACTTGCCCCTAAAGTCTGCTAAGGCTATCTTTGTATTGTATTGTTGTGAGTGTGGCAGTGTAGTGGA